ATCTGCATATATGCCAGGTAGAGGTACAGGGATCACTCAGTTTCCCTTTGAGCTTCCTAAACCAGGGCTGCATTGTAACTACTTACTTTTATCTTTTTTTTTCCTGTTTTACTCCCCTCTTTTCTTACAAAGGATAGTAAGACCCTTCATCATTTCCTTCAGCAGCCTAAGGACAGAGCTATTTCCTGTGCTGGTGGCAGGGGAATAAGCCCTCTGGGCATCCAGGCAGGTGATGGTGCAGTAAGGGGAGAGGAGGCCATTCTGTAGGAAGGCACTGCTCCCACTGCAGTGAGAACAGCACTGACCCTCACCCATCTCACCTGATCTCTAGGTTTTAATGGAGCTGTACAGGAAAAAAGCTTCTAGGTGATTTCAGATTCTCTGGACAACACTGGTAAGTACAGAAGGCCAGAGAGATTCACAATCTGAAGTTCTCATCTATATATCTTTTGGAGTATAATAAGATTAGTGTAATCAAGTGTGATATTTGGTCCTTTGTTATGGGAAAGAACTGAATTACTTCGTAATTACCCTGGTGGCCTTCTTGTTGATGGTTTAGAACCCTGAACCCTGATAGAACAGCTGTGTGTACATACAGATAGGCCTTCTGTTATGTTAATTGGAATTATTTGGTTCTGGTGTTCTTCTGAGATTCTTCTGTATTGTCTGTGATGGAAAAAGAAAGAAACTATTTCTTCTCAGAGTATTATCCAGTATAACTCAGTGTAATATAGATTGGTTTTCAAAATTCCCCATAGCCCAATCTGTATGTTCATCCACACTTCACCAAAGCTGGAAACTGTATTCCATCTCAGCATATCTTACATTTTGCCTTTTTTCCTGGTTAATCTCCCAACTAATATTTCATCACACCCCAAAAATGCTGTCCTCCAAATTTTGCTTCTGACAGTATATCAGGAATATTGGTTTTGGTTTTTTATTTTGTTTTGTTTTGTTTTTAAACTTAATGTCCAAAAATTCAAAGCTGAAAATTCATTAATTGCAGAAACAATAAAAATAATTAATTCTTACACAGAACCTTGGGTAGAGCAGTAAATACCCGTGGCTCAGTCTTCTCCCTCCTAAAAACAGATTTTGTTTTCTTTCACTGGGACCGGTTTAGTAAGCCTGAAGTGACCAGGATTACTCAGAAAAGGATGCACATGGTATCACAGGGAGTCTGTTGGCAGAAAGGCAGATTTGTGGGTATACATTGTGGAATTGTGGTTGGGGAATGGCAAAGAAGTAGGATGGGCACTGGGAGTGCAGGTAGTATTTTTAGCAGCTTCAGATCTGCTAATATTTTGTATGAATGAACTCTCACTGTGCTGGCAAGTTACATTGGAACTGCGGAGACACTCGTGTGTAAGAGACTGCAGGAAAGGAGCGGTGAGATAGTCAGCAAGCAGGGAGAAAACCCTGATGCCACAATAGCTGGTGGACTGAAGGCCAAATCTGCCCTGTGTGATAATTCTATCAAGGCTCAGTTGTCAGTTGTACCTATAAGCAGAACACCTAGAATGCAGTGCATGACGTGCTGCCCACACACAGGGATTCACACAGGAGGAAGTTTGTCATCACATGGCTTAAGGGCATAGTAGCTCAGAAAAATGCTCTGACATTGGCATCTTGCCTAGAATATTGAAAAGACTGGAGAACCTTTCTTTAGCCATCTCCAGGTTAACACGGAAGTTCTTCTAGCAATGAAAAATCTTTATTAGAAACCAACAATTGAAATAAAACTTTCTGCTACTGAAAGATTCCTGCTTATGATAATAAAACCTTTTTTGTTCAGAAAAGCAGTACTCATTGGGTGTCAGCAATGTGAGCTAGCCTAAAATTCTCCTTCGATTTGGTTTAGCTAGTAAAGGCAAGCATAATATTCTGTTTCTGTGCACAAATAACCGATATCTGCTGCAAATCTGCAGTGCAAGACGACTGGCTAATGGTATGCTGGCAGTGTCACAGGAGTTACAGACACAGCATCCAACATGACATGCTTGTCAGGAATGTACTAATCAGAAAATGCTCAGATCTAACATACCTAGGCATTAAGAGCTTTTTCCTAGTGGCTGCAGGTATATGAAGGAAGTGAAAACAAGAAGGAAAGGACATAAAACACTTGAAAATGCTGTGCTATTCTTGACACACAATGCTAGAAAAGAATTCCTTCCCCTAGGACTGCAGCTTTCCTTATGAACATCATATTACAGGGAAGCAGCTACACTTTGCTGGATCAAGGAGAGAATAGCTCCACAAAAATCCACAGTCAAAGTGTGAACTCAGATTAGACCTTCATATGAGACTTTCATTCACCAATCATGAGACAGAGTGGATCAAAGAGATCTGCTCCCAAACTCCTTCAATTTTACATAGTATGTTCTATGATCTTCATTCTGTCCAAGGGCTGTGAATTGCAATAGCTTTGTGACACATCTGCTGTTCCCCACCAGCAGGCAAGCCCTCAGGTAGGGGCAGAGAAGACTGAGCTGTCTGGATTTTATCTATTACCTCCTCCCCACCTAGCCAGAGAATTCACTAGTCAAAACTTGTTGGAATTGACTTTTAGGTTTTGATGGTCAGCCTCCTGCAGTTTAGCTGCTCTCTATTAGGCTTTTGTTGGCTTTCAGTGTATTTCTGTTACCTTGTCGCATTTGGAATACTGAATACTATCATACTACTGAATACTGAATATTATCATGTGAAATGATGTCTTGCTAGCTCTACTCCCATGCCACCGTCTGTTAATAAAAGCACAATGTCACCTTTCCATTGCTTTTCTTTTCTTCAGTCCAGACACAGAGGAAGGTTTAGAAAGCAATTACAAGGCACACACGGTTTACAGGATCTGCCTGCGCCGCGCTGAAACGTGGTCACCCTTCAAGAGTAAGTCAGCTGCCTGGAGGGAGGGAACCAGTAACACAGGTATCTTAAGACAGAAAGTGGAGAAAACCTTGTCTAATTGAAATTAGAGGGGACAATTTAGGTAGGAAATGCAATTATCATGCTGGAATTTGGCAGCGACACCTGGATTGATGTTCTTCTCTCTTAGGCAATCAGGGATTTTTGATGACTGCAGGCAAAAAAAATTTGGGTTTGTATTTTTCAAAAAAAAAAATGCCTCTTTCATCAGAAGAAAAGATTTTTTCTCCAAAGTAAAATCGGCATGCAAGTAGAAAACCAACATATTTTATTTTTTTTTCATTTAAATGCAAATTGGAAAAAATAACCCTGCGTAATTCTATCAAAGCTATTGTTCAAAAAATCCAGAATCCTTTTATAATTTATTTTTTACTTTTGTTTTTTCATAAAAATAAAGTAGTTCAAAACAGTTCGTTAGTACTTCAGTAAAAAATTTTCACTAAGATTCTTTTAAAAAGCTTGTAAGAATGGATTGGCTTTAACAGAGGTCAACACTTAAAACTGAAGAAACGTATATATTTCTTGTATATTACAGGAAAAGTGGTGAGGGTGACGGAACCCTGGAACAGGCTGCCCAGGGAGGTTGTGGAGTCCCCTTCTTTGGAGATTTTCAAAACCCGCCTGGATGCTCCTGAGTAACATGCTCTAGCTCTAGGCAATCCTGCTTCAGCAGGGGAGTTGGACTAGATGATCTCTATGGTCCCTTCCAACTCTAGAAATTCAGTGAAATTCAGTGAAATTCAGTGAAAGAGCCACTGTCTGGTCCCTCAGCCTCACTTCCTACATCTGGACAGCTTTGGAAAGTTCTCTCTCCACTCAGCAGATTGCTGCATGGCTGAAAATTGCTTCAGTACCAATCACTGAAACTTCTCTTTCTCCAGAAAACTACTGTTAAAAAGATTACTTGGGTATTTACAGTAAGATTGGCCAAGTCAGTGATAACAATGTGGGAAAAATCAGACTCAGTTGACTTTGACAGGGTCGGGTAAGAGCCAGTGTAACCCCCCAGAAAAAGGCTGATGGGGAAAGAGCCCGCGTACAGCTGGGGATGGGAGGGATGGAGCTACCACCGTGCTGCCAGAGACCACCCTGGTCATCTTAAACTGCTGGGGAACTGCACCCTGACCCAGGACAAATCAGCACCTTGGGAAGACAGGGATTTCAATTAGTGTCTTGTAAAAACCTAATTCATACGCTTTATACAGCACAGTAAAAAACATGCAAAAGATATTAAACATGCAAAAGATTGGATATATTTGAATAATGTAAAATATAATTATAAAATTAATTATAAGAGCCTTTTAATTGTTGGCATTGTTTATGTATACATATGTAAACTTGGTGCTCTAACTTTCTCTTATATTAACTTGGAAATTTAATATAAAGGACTTCAGATTTATGCAGAAATTTTGGTTTCTGAAACTCACAAATCTGTGATGTCTGTTTTGTGATGACAGAATGATATACATTAATATGATTCAAATTTTATCATTATTTTTTTCCACTAAAGATAAAGAAAACAAGAGCCTTGGGTAGCAGGGTTTGGGCTCAAATTCTTGTTCTACATTGCTCAGGGATTTATAGATCTCCATGTATGGCTGAAATAATAAGAATCTTGTCTTTTCGGGCCATATGTGAAATGTCATTATTTGCTTAGGAAAAAAAGAAATCAGTTATGTAAAGCAGAGAGCATTTTTATCTAGTAATTTTCTTTGCTTTGAACACCCCATTAATATTGGTGTTATTCCAATACCACATTTGTGTGACAATGAGAGAACGAAACTCAGCACCATCACAGAATCTGGGTTATCTGTCTAGTTTTCTCTTCCAAAGTGAGGTAAAAATAGTATCACTTGTAATCTCTGACCATTCAAATGTCTTCGTGTTAATATTTCTATACCTGCTGTTAAATGTATCGGGATCCACATACTTTATAATGTGGGTAGGCAGAACCGGTGTTATTCCTTATCAAAATATTTGAGGCATGTTTCTTTCCTACCCCCATGTCACAGCTGAGATAGCTGAAGTTAAGGGAATTACCAGAAGGCAGAGGGACACGTGAGCTCTGGACACTGATTGAGGGAATTACCAGAAGGCAGCTGAACGGACAGAGGGACACGTGAGCTCTGGACACTGATGAAAACACTGTTCCTAGGGAAGTGCCTCGTTTCTGCCGCACAGACGTTCTGCTGGCGATGGATCAGCCCCTCACCTACCGTAGTTTCAGAATATTCTGCTACAAACTACAGTCCCAGAGGCCATCTGGGAGCGGCTTTGCAGTTCTTTAACAAGAAGCTCAGCTGGACGTGTGTCCTTCCTCTGTGTCCTCTGTAGGGGTTGTTTGTGACGCAGCTGTGAAGCTTGGGAAGCAGTGGCTGTACTTCTGCAATCTACAGTCCAACACACTGAAGACAAATATCACAGCTTTAACGTGGCAGGCTGTAAAATATAGAAAAATACGTTGAAAAATAAGTCAAAAATACTCAAAAATTCAGCAAGCACTGCGTGAATGGCTGCAGCACCCCTGAAGAGCAGCAACGTGGAGAGTACGGGTGTGAACAACTGCAATTACCCAAAGCAAAGTGTTCCTGCTGGTGAATCCGAGGTGTCCATCATTCTCTGAGTACAGACAGCAGCAGATACACAGGTCCAGAGATGTCATGAGCCAGGCGAAGCTGGGCTGGACCAAATGATTAAGCTAAGTCCTGAGGCAAAGCTAAGAACAGGATCAATATAGTTTATTCTCATTGTACGGCCGTATGCACTAGTTCCCATGTAAACACTAGTGATCATGACAGTGAAAAAGGAAAGCTGTATTTAAAGTACATACTTAATAATTCCTCTGGCAATCTGAAACTTTAAAACTCTCAAAAGCTCTAATCATTTTGTACAGTCTGGTTAGGATTCTGACGAAAGATTTTTCAGCTGATTCTCTTAATTTTCATCCCAAATTGACACAAAGGGAAGAGCCAGCTTCATTGCTAATCTGGCCAACACAACTGCTGAAGCAAGCTCTTTCTAGCACCAATTACTCAGTGCAAGAGATGTGTGTTTACTTACAACCTAAGATGCACCAGCCCTGCCCCAAGGCGAGCACAGCTACCCCACCTGTGAGCGTGCAAGTATGTTTGGTATGTGCAGTCACATTCATCGGGAAAGCTTGTGAGCTCATTAACAAAAAGACTAAATTTTCTTACTACTTTGAAACACATTTTCAAGAGATCAAAACAGTGGACCAAAGAGACACCCTAAAACTGGGAAACCAAATTTGCAAGATCTTACACTTCTATATAAGATACAAGGAACTCCTGAAAAAAAAAAGAAAATATTTTTGTGCTTCTGAAACCCCAGTGAAGTCTCAGGCTGTTAACTCTCATCCAAAACGAAAAGCAAGCTGAAAGCAAAGTTGCTTTCAGAAGGGACAAGCTTCAAGTTTTTTAAATCATTTAATCCTGTTCTGAAATAATCTCTCACAAATCCAGAATAATTAAATAATTTCAAAAGTATTCTTTGTACTAAGTTAAAGAATATTTCTGTTGTCATTGCCTTATTCTTCTTGTTCCTTGATAGTCCAGGCAGTGATATTCTCATAAGGTAGGAAGTGCTTGGAAGGTCTGTCATACAAGATCTGAGAAACAGAACTATTAAATATCTGGACTCTCATAAAATCGTGCAATGCAAATGGCATCATGGAACACATTCCATGGAAACTCTTCAATAGCCTTTTCTACAGAGTGGTTACTGAGGTTTTGCAAACATCTTATTTGGGCAATGAAACAGTTCAGCCACCAGAACTGAGTGGTCTGCAACATCAAAACAAATGAGCTTCTGTCCTTTATTATTATTATTATTATTATTATTATTATTATTATTATTATTATTTAGCAATGTTAAAGTTCCCTTTTTAAAATTGTTTTCTTATTTGCCATTTACCCCCAGTAAAACTGCTTATCATCTCCACTCTTCTCCCCTTCTTCCCCAGTGAGGATGAGGGGGTGAGATAATGCAGGCTGTGACTGCAGCCATTAGTGCTCTTTCTCTAACGCAGTGATCCTGCCTCTCAGCTATGGCAAAGCTTGGTTGCTGTATACATGGTCACTATCCAAAGCATACAATGTAACTTAGCTTTATCATATATATTTTTGATCCTACCCTGGAGACCTAAGTAAGAAAGTTATTTTAACACCTGTAAAATTGCATTCTTCAAGGCTGTGTACAGAGGAAATAAAACATAATCTGTTATAGTCCAGGCTAGATTTAAGCTTCATCTCTCTGCTGATGCTGAAAATCAAGGGGATGAGGATACTACCAAAACTAATCAGAATGCGTGCAAAACAAATTTATATACTAGTCATGCTATGTTTTAAATTAAATCTTTCAAAAATGCAGTTACAATCAGTCAGAGTTTCTGCTAACATCTTTGATTTTTGCCCTCACCTCATCCCTACATTTACAGCGCTCAATCAGGTTTGTCCTCCACAGTGGTTTTCATCTGTCATCCTATTATTTCCAGCTAGACACCAGTTTTTGCTCCTTGTTTGTTTATTTATGCCAAAGCCTGCTTTCCACACTAACCCTTAAACCTAGAAAACCCCGCTCCAATTAATTAGCATTCAACTTCAAATCCTCCCTCAAGACATGTTTATACTTTGATGCTTACAGTAAACTGCCAGTTAACAGTGGAGAAGATTGAAGGCAGGGAACTTTGATACCGTAAACACTGTTGACTTTTAGATTCAGGAAGTCTACTAAGTATGCAAATTACTAGACTTGTGCCTCTGTGTTGTTTCTTATTTATTCCATTAAATTAGTTTGCTACAGCTATTGCAACACACCAAATGAAATAAATCTCTGTGCATTGTGTTCAGAACATGAGACAGAAAGCTGGCTATGGCTGTACCTCTTCTGTCTGACCCTGTGGTTGTATCAGGTAATATCTGTGCGCCGGGAGCAAAGTTCCTCTTTTCTATGTACACTCATGGTTGTGCTGAGCACAAGTCACACTTGTAACACAGCTGTTACTGAGATATAGTAAATTTTACTTGTGTCTGCTTCACTTTGAGAAAGGGGTTGAAGGACCAAAGCCTTTTACTTCAGTCCACACACCGTATCCCAAGGGAAAAATTCAGTCATCTGTAAAAACAGGAAAGGAAATGTAATTGACCAAACTCTATCAGATCAACTAAGCTCCACCATAATAAACTGATCTGATTCTATATTGTACTGTACAAGAAAGAAAATCATCAATCCCTGAACTTTATAAGCAGACACTCAGTTTATTCCTTATTTCTAATGTATCTTCTGTGCAGACACACACACAGGAAAAGGACTGCTCCTCACCCTGTGAACGTGTGCCAGTTTTGCATATTTTCAGGGTTATCTCTGGACCCCTGCTCAGAGCGGAGCAGGTCAGTAAATTAAAACTCTCTTGAATGCTAATAGATCAAAACGATTCTTTTATCACGACTATGTCAATGATTAACAATGGAAGCACTGCCCATGTACACTGGCCCAGAAGAGAACTCCCTATGGCTTGTTACATGAATAATACCTTGGTAAACAGGAGGGCCTTTGGAATTCCTGTCTCAGTATGCCAGGGGCATACAGGGTCAATAGACAGGAAAACTTTCATAACTTGTCCAAAAGCACTTACATGATGGTCTTACTCAGCAATAGGTTAAGAGACATAGTTTACAGACCACAAACTTTTATTATTGCGGTAGTAGCTCACACGGTGTTAAAGGACGAAGCACAGACGGTCACAAAGCAGATTCATTTTGTAGTAAGAAAGACTATTCAATCTGTGCGTGATGTCATGCCTTTATGAGGACAAAAAGCAAGGACACAGACATACAAAATACAGAGCAGAATTCATCAGTTCCGTGTCACAGCCTCTGTTTCCAAACACTATGTGAATCTGCTCCCATTTGCAAATTCAAGTCATGACAGAAGGAAAATTTATGGGATAGTTTTACAAGACATAGGCTTAGCAGGACTCACATTAATGTCTCGCTGACACAATAGCTCAAACTGATCTTTTTATCCCTCTTCCAATATTTTATATTGTGAGCCTCCTCCTTTTAGCACCAATATCACAAACGTGCTGTAAAACCTCTCACAGGGGTGACCCCAATGACCAAAAGATGTGGCTACAGAAACAATGGAGAGAGGAAACAAGGAGATGGTTATAGGAGAAAAAAAAAATTAAAAATCACTACATACGTTGCAAGTCTCAGGAGAAATATATATAGAGAACACGTTGATATAAAGAACAAATGCACCAATAGTATCAGCTGAGGAGCATGATGTACGTGAGAAAGACAATCTAATTGCGAAAAGAGCTGCCACAGAATCAGAAAGTTTTCATTCTATTTCCAAATCACCTACTAGAGTTCTAAAAATCCTAAAGAGGTTACTTAATCTTCTGCATTTTCTTTCTGTAAAATAAGAAAGAATGCTTATCCAATAGGCAGCATGGGAATATAAAAATCTGAAAGTAATCTTCTTAAGTTTTGTGCACTGAAAATGAGATTTACGCAACTGCTTCCAAACACCTTCTCATCCAGCCAGGCCTCCATACACTGGGTAAGCAGCGCTGCAGCATCCCTCTCCTTCCCTCCTCTCTGCAGACAGACACCTCAGTCACAGCCCAGCCCGAAACCCTCCAGCCTCCAGCCTGCTCCTCACACACCATGTGTGCTCATCTGAGGGGGTCCCTCTTTATGAGGCTACGGACGTAAGATGCTACAGAACTGATTCAGAGCAGAAATTCAAATCCCTGTGTTGATGGGACCATCTTCTGAACCAAATATTTGGCTAAATATCTAACACCAGGAAAAAGTAAAATCTCTGACTCATCCTATTTGGCAGGGGTTAAACAAATGAGGGAACAAGTTTGGCTTGATAAAAAGTGTTGTCTCTTACCTTTCCTGAGGCTTTTTTCCATTTGCTGATGATGTCTTGATGTGTTACAACCTCCTGCTGCTTTTTTTTTTTTTTTTTTTTTTTTTTTC